GCTCGTCCCGAAGGATTCATTCACACTGAGCGGTAGGCATTATCAACGGCCGCTTCATTGTTCTACACATATTTCTAAATGTTAGCAGGTGCATATACATCCGCGTAGTAAAGACTAGCTTACGAAGGGTGGCCGAAATGTTCTGACTTCGACGAATTGTAAGACAGTCTGCCACCCTTAATAGTTTGCATGTATTAAGAACCATATTTGCCATGCTTACTGGCTGAATTTGAACCAAATACACAACCAGACAGAATATTTCTGCAGGCATTAAAGTGACTAAAGTTATAGAAAATGCTTTTTGACCACTAAACAATATAGATTGTTTCACAGATTGTTGCTATTGAAATATCGAGTATCTACCAATCTAGCTGCCTGGGGGTTGAAGTATTTCAGTCACAAGGAGCCCTATCGACAATTTTACAGGAGAAAATTCGAACGAAAAATGCAAATTCAGATTTATTTAGTCAAACGAGGAAAATCTGAAACCGACTATTGACATATGTGCATGCCATATAATTATGACGGAGCCTTCATAAAACATCTAATCAACAAAGAAACAAGTCAATAACGGCTGTCGGACGCCTGACTCCTTGACTTAGAGAAACTCCGATGACCAGAGTCATGGCTTAATTCATTTTACTTTTGTCTGTCCTTATTATTGTGAACTAAGAAGAAAGTTTATACCAGAACGCTTTCTGTCAAATTATCCTTTACCTGCTTTTATTTCTCTTCTTTCTTCAAAAGATGATGCTGTCATATTAAAACTGGCTATTATGTTAAAAATGCAATTTCACTCAGAAACAAATTGTTAAACATGAGTATATATCCAAATATGTCAACTACTCATTTGAAACTCTCTTGTATATGGGCCGGAGGCCTTACATGCAATAAATATCTTTGACTTTGACTTTGACCTTGACCACGACGACACAGAACGGCACTACGCTAACGTAACTGTTGTAGGGTTCCATTACGCCACCGGACGCAGTGACGACATTATTATATCGGCTTCTGGATGTTATACTGTATATCATGTCATTCACGAAGTAAAGCTAACATTACAAAGAACGCCCAGAGATCCCAACAGCGCTCAATCGCATTAAAATCAGATTTTAGTTCCAGATAATTCAGCGGTAGCGAGGATTAGGATCTGGCTTTATGACACTGAAAGGCTCTATTCGTAGTCTGGCTGCTAACACTGCCCTCGTGTTGTCCTGCATGTTGAACAGACCGCATTATGAAACAAGGTGCTGAAAGCATGTAAGTCTCGTACATTTACATCACTGTGTTACAATAACGTCAGTGCGTCAAGGTAATACGCAAGATTAATGTTTATATTTTTTAGAAAAAGAGCCGTCCTCAAAAACGCACAGACATCAACAAGGCTGCATGAAACATTGGCCTGGCTACATTACACTTAAATAAAACAGTTTGTTCTTCAGCTCAGCACTAGTTGACTAACAGTCGTCTATGTACCCAGTCATATCATATTGTCATTGACCATATTCACATGAACATGTAGGCTGTCAAAGTCAGACATGTTTTAAGCATTGTTTTATCCCTGTATTGCTGTTGCAACTCGGTTTTGGGCGTTGCTTGAAAGAAATAATGACAATTTGTTTAAATGCGACCCTACATGTTTCCAGGAGCAGTGTTCCAATACAAAACAATTTGAAATCAGTGATGCTAGATGTAATATGTGTATTTGCATATTTGTACTTCAGCTCAGCACCATACAAACATTCGCCTGTGTACCCAGCTCGTATGAATTATGTTCGACCCTTGCGGTAGGAGAATGGGTCGATATGTCAACCTTTTGATATTAGAAGGAGACGGGCCTGGAAAGAGGTTGTGAAGAAAATATTCTGGCTCCTTTGAGGTTGTGACTAAAAGCATAAAAAAAAAAATTATCCTGTCCCTAACAACTACAAAAAGAGCGACACACACCCGAAACCCCACCCCACCCCACCCACCCCCTCCAACGGCTACTAAAGATTGGTGTAAGAGTTTTAACAGCTTTGGTTTCTCAGTCATGAGAAACGAGTCCCAGCTTAGCCCCGATTAGGGTCCTTGGTTTGCCAGAATCAAACCAAGTACACGGCTTTTACCAAAGGGATGCGTCATCATTTCGGAGAATAAAAATTGTGTTGAACTTCTTCACGACCGTTTCCATGACAAAAGTGGGAATGTACGTTCTGTGTTTCAAGGATAGGTGTAAGAAACGAAGCAATGCCTCCGAGATGAAACGATCTTCTAATTTACATACATGTAGCAACCGGTTAAACATAAATTTAGCAATGTCTTTCAACTAATATTTTGCCAGCTATGTTTTCCCACTGTGGATCATTTGAACACGAAGACGAGTATATGTATATATCTCCTAGATTTAAGAACTCTACAAATGATCTTTAAATAATTGCTTGACGAGTTTCAATGATCTTATCCCTGTCCCCCACAACAAATGTACATGTCTTACCTTAGTTACAACCAGTAGGATGGAATAACGATTATAACGCTACAACTGTCGCACCGCAGACACAACCTGTGATACGAGCTGGCAATGCATCCCCACTTACATAGGGGGAGTTTATAACGCTACAACTGTCGGACCTCAGTTACAACCAGTAGAAAAGTATGAAACGAGCTGACAATGCATCCCCACTTACATAGGGGGAGTTTACAACGCCAGTGACGTCGTACCTTAGTTACAATCAGTAGAATAGTATGATACGAGCTGACAATGTATCCCCTCGTACATAAAGGGAGTTTATAACGCTACAACTGTCGGACCTCAGATACAACCAGTAGAATAGTATGATACGAGCTGACAATGCATCCCCACTTACATAGGGGGAGTTTATAACGCTACAACTGTCGGACCTCAGTTACAACCAGTAGAAAAGTATGAAACGAGCTGACAATGCATCCCCTCGTACATAAAGGGAGTTTATAACGCTACAACTGTCGGACCTCAGATACAACCAGTAGAATAGTATGATACGAGCTGACAATGCATCCCCACTTACATAGGGGGAGTTTTATCGCTACAACTGTCGGACCTCAGTTACAACCAGTAGAAAAGTATGAAACGAGCTGACAATGCATCCCCTCGTACATAAAGGGAGTTTATAACGCTACAACTGTCGGACCTCAGATACAACCAGTAGAATAGTATGATACGAGCTGACAATGCATCCCCACTTACATAGGGGGAGTTTACAACGCCAGTGACGTCGTACCTTAGTTACAATCAGTAGAATAGTATGATACGAGCTGACAATGCATCCCCTCGTACATAAAGGGAGTTTATAACGCTACAACTGTCGGACCTCAGATACAACCAGTAGAATAGTATGATACGAGCTGACAATGCATCCCCACTTACATAGGGGGAGTTTACAACGCCAGTAATGTCGTACCTTAGTTACAAGCAGTAGAAAAGTATGATACGAGGTGACAATGCATCCCCACTTACATAGGGGGAGTTTACAACGCCAGTAACGTCGTACCTTAGTTACAACCAGTAGAAAAGTATGAAACGAGCTGACAATGTATCCCCTCGTACATAAAGGGAGTTTATAACGCTACAACTGTCGGACCTCAGATACAACCAGTAGAATAGTATGATACGAGCTGACAATGCATCCCCACTTACATAGGGGGAGTTTATAACGCCAGTAATGTCGTACCTTAGTTACAAGCAGTAGAAAAGTATGATACGAGATGACAATGCATCCCCACTTACATAGGGGGAGTTTACAACGCCAGTAACGTCGTACCTTAGTTACATTCAGTAGAATAGTATGATACGAGCTGACAATGCATCCCCACTTACACAGCCTCTTGAAGGATGTTAATAACATGTACAAGCTTTATAAAATATTTACCCGTCTATTATCTGAACCTTTTCTTCCAACACTGATTATCATATCTCTGTCACTTTAGGGTGACAATGCATCCCCAAGTACACGGGGGAGTTTATAACCCTACAAATGTCGTACCTCAGTGGCATTGAGTAGGATGATGGTAAGCTTTGAGACGACGATCGGATGCATCCTCGCGTACACAGAAGGTGTTTATATATAACGCCATGAATGTAAAATCTCAGATGCAATCAGTAGGATGACATGATACATGCTGACAATGCATCCCCACGTACACTGCGGGAGTCAATTTAAGAAATAAACGACGAGTAGTTTATCGTACAAGAAAACACTGCGGGGAGAATAAGCCGTGATTGGCGCTTTATATCAGATATCAAAATTATGTACAGCCTCTTGAAGGATGTCAATAACTTGTACAAGCTTTATCAAATATTTACCCGTCTATTATCTGAACCTTTTCTTCCAATACTGATTATCATATATCTGTCACTTTAGGGTGACAATGCATCCCCAAGTACACGGGGGGAGTTTATAACGCTACAAATGTCGTACTTCAGTTGCATGGAGTAGAATGATGGTATGCTACGAGCTGACAATGCATCCCCACGCACACAGAGGGAGCTAATGTAAGAAACAAACGACTCGTGGGCGTTGTTTATCGTACGATTAAACACTGTCGTACCTCAGTTACAACCGGTAGGATGGTATTGTACACCAGTGTACCAGCTGGTGATGCATCCCCGACGTACATAGAGGGAGTTTATAATACTACAACTGTCGTACCTCAACATCAACCAGTAGGAGAGTATGGTACGAGCTGAGAATGCATCCCTGCATACAAGTTGCGTGCGTGCGTGCGTGCGTGCGTGCGTGCGTGCCTGCCTGCCTGTGTGCCAGTTGTGCTGCATCCCTGCAATATGTTTCACTGCCCACCCATTGAAACCCACAACCTTACTGACTAACGACCCCCTTATTAAGATATTGTAAACAAGGGGTACAGCGAACGGAGCGACAGGGAGTGATATACGTCTTTAGAATCTTTGCAATTGTCATTATATATTTCTGCGCAATCATTTCAATGACCACCTTCACACTAAGTCGTCATCTCGCCCAGTCATCCGTTGTCACCACTGGGTTACTTGTGAAGTCTCGAAACGGTTCACTGCACATGCGGATGCTGCTTTCAAAACACAAAGTGACCTCAATACCAGACCAGCTCACACCCTGTCAATTCACGTTGTAAGGGCCTACACATGCAGCAAAACATTGAAGCCGTGAGCCTGTCTTTGTATGTCATGGCGACAAACATGTCTACGCCAAAATACAACAGCCGTACGGCACACCCACTCCTTGAGCACCTCTTACCTGGGACCAGTCTTTCGAGAGAAAACAACACTGCACATTGAAGCTTTAGACGCTCCTTTGAACACAATTCACGGAAACAGGTAAGTTGTCTTGTAACTCCGAAAACTAAGCAGTAATCTTCTTCACTATTTCTTACATACCTACTAACACTATATGTTTTATGTATACGATGTTTCGTTTTGTGTCTTTTACACTTTGGAGCGGCATGTCTTACACTAATGTCCACCGGGCCACCTTATGGAGACTCCTCCGTGTAAATGTATGTTATATGCGTTGTATGTGTATATGACCTGTATCAATAGGCCCCAGGTCGGCATGTACGTGTTGATGGCCCACAGGTCTATATATATATGTGATTTCAACATGGCTTTCAACTTGTATATTCTTTGTACATGCACAACGTTTCGATGTCACACCTTGCCAATTCATCATTTGAATGCAATTATTGAATTTAAGAATGACATCATATGATAACGAGATCATTACGCTTGTGTGTTTGTGGATGTAAGTATCCTGTATTAGGAATACACACTTAGCCCATAGTCTATGTATTTAGCTCGCACGGCTGATACAATGTTTGTTTCTACTGTGTGTTTTGGGATGGTACATATCCTGTTTGGGGAATAAGCATTGCATATAACGATCCTTGGCGTGTTGACATAGTGTTTATTCATAATACAGGATATATATTATCCCAACACACTTGCGTGATAACCCCTATATAGAGAGGTAGGTACATTGAGCCAGATTCGGTCACAGAGTGGACGAATAACAATCACGGTGTAGTTAGAAAGAACACGTTAACTTTAGTTGGTATTTCAGTTGATCCTTAGTCTGTCTTACAGACCCTGATACAAATATATATCAAATACAGCCCATGCAAGTCTATAATGTTTGGCAAGTCTAGATCACTGCAGTATCAGGCTGAAAATGAAGAGAGTCACTGGGCTCCTTTTTATTATATTTTTATTAAGATAACTGAACAACTGGGTTTTTTATGTACGATATGTTCATTTCAGAGACTAGATTTTTAGTCTAGTTGATCCTGTGAGAGGGTCCAGGCAAGAGCTGCATCTGGCTGTGTCCAGTTTTACTCACGTCTGGCCATCACAGTCCAATTTAGTTTTGCTTAGTTGACATTTGTGTCAATAATCCGAAAATGCATCTACGCTCTTGCAAAGATATACCATGTGTACTTACTTTCTAGTGTTTTGCGCCATGAGAATGTATTTAAGTCGTTTCCATGTTTTTACCCGTACAAGTACATCGGACATTCAACATTCAACACCTATAAGCGGTCGATATTGCCTACGGCGATGGTACGTTTTGCACTGCTCCGCGTCTGTTTACGCAGATATACTTCACGCTGAGTTCGGTAACGAAATTGAGTAGATGTCCTCCTTTCTCCGCGTTTTATTTGCCAGATTCCTGGAAAGCTACACCCTTGTCAATGGACTATTATAAAATGTCTACAATAACTCATATTCATTTGGTTCAGCCGCCACTAGTTACGAAAACGCGTGCGTCATGACCTGTATGGATTATATCCAAAGGTCGGTTCTTTAGAAATATAATTATTTTATAAAATAGAAACAGATTTAGTCCAAATTCAGTCTTTCAAGGACAGTTCATATATTTGTTTTACACATGCTGGCCAGATATGTTATATTTAGAAGAGTGAGTGAGTATGGTTTTACGCCGCTTTTAGCAATATTCCAGCAATATTAAGCGGCGGGGGACACCAGAAATGGGCTTCACACATTGTACCCATGTCGGGAATCGAACCCGGGTCTTCGGCGTGACGAGCCAACGCTTTAACCACTAGGCTACCCGACCGCCCTATTTAGAGGAGCTGATTAAGACATTTAGACATTTTTCATCGACATTAATCATTGAGGTTACAACGGGGATAAGATATCACAGACACTAACTGATGCTCGTCACTGAAACAATTCATGCTTATATAAGTTATTTCTTCTCATATTTCCCACAAAACCAAACAATGCATTAAAGGTTTAGAAATCCGATCATGCGTTCAGTCAATTTATGAGTGTGATGTTAAACTTTATTTCTGTTAGATCACGTTTGTTTTGTGTTGTGCGTTGTTTGCCGCAGTTAACAATACCTTCCAGCTGTATCACATCATCATGTAAATAAATAAACTAGTCTGGCCAGGACAATATGAGCAACGACCAAACGAGTGGGAACCCCGGTGTGGTGCACGAAATAGACTAAGTACATTATGTAAATAAACAAGTACAATGTATGTTATAAGCTCTGAACATCTTGAGTCATATATATACTTTTCATATAATATTACTTTTCATATTTTCAAATACAGACATTTTTCAAATGGAGGATGACTAAATAACATATCTGAGGTATGTGTCAGTGTATAAGTATGACATGTACTACATTATAAATATAAAACATATGGTTTTTAATATACCCAAATTTACTTTGTACAGAATACATGTATCCATTGTTCTACTTATATTGTTTACATCAAAGTGGTAAACGTCTGAGACCTGCATCATTTCGATCTATCCACCAACATCAGGGCAGTCGGGTAACCTAGTGGTTAAAACGTTTGCTCGTCACGCCGAAAACCCGGGTTCGATTCCCGACATGGGTACAATGTGTGAAGCTCATTTCTGGTGTCACCCCGCCGTGATATTGCTGAAATATGGCTAAAAGCGGCGTAAAACCATACTCACTTACTCGCTCACTCCTCCTGCATCACGTTGATACGCTGTGGTGTAACTAGATACTGCTCAAAGCGGCGTATAAAACACTTTTAAATGTTGCGCTGAGGACTTAAACACTATCCTAAAACTGTTTTGAATTAAACATGTCTAACATTCACACGTATGCATATGGTGTATTGCCTCCCCATAAAAGCATCGAGACGTGCAGGTTAATATGTACAAACCCTTGTATGAATGCGGTAATAGTCTGGCTATAGGGATGGGGTTGAGGGCAGTACAGGAGATACCTGAACGATTGAGAAGTGTCCGGTAACCACCACCCCCCCCCCCCCCCCCCCCCCCAGTATACTGTGTCTGAGTGGGGTATTCATGTTAAACTGCGGCATGGTATCTCAGTGAGCTAGCACTATAAATCGGCATCAGTCCGGACTAGTACAAGCAGCCACACACACACATACACGTGCATGCACGTCGCTATATAAGTGCAATAATCTTGGACGCGACGTTAAACCCAATTTGACCTCACCTCACCTTAACCCATACGCATCCACACACCACACACACTGCATACAGTCAATATTAAACGTTTCATCCCTTATGAGGAGCATTAACGTTCACCTATTTACAGGCCCAGTCCGTCTTGTATAAAGCATATAGTTTTCAGGTTCTTTCCACAGGGACAGTCGGTTATATACGTGTCATTTATCCTATTTCTTTACACAGGACATCAATGTGTTGTGCATCATGAGGCTAAAGTGACTATTTATAGTGTTCGGTACAGGTGAGGTGAGGTGTAATGGGGTTTAACGTCGCGTTCAACATTATTGCACTCATATAGCGACGTGCATGCACGTACGTGTGTGTGGCTACTTGTACTTGTCCGGAATAATGCCGATTTGATAGTGCTAGCCTACTACAGTAATTCAGTATCTACACTAACACGTACTTGATCTTACTCTTGCTTTTATGGGGGGCACGGGTGGCCCAGTCGTCTAAGGCGCCGCGATTCGCTGTGCAGGGTTGCGTCCCTTAGGCACGCCAGAAACCTATGATTGTGGGTTCGAATCACGGTTCGCCCTGATTATGTTTCTAGGTTTGTCAGCACCATACCCGTGCTCGTGGGTTTCACCAAAGTGGTAAACGTCAGAGACCTGCATCACTTCGTGCTTTCGTCCCACATTAAGATGACAGGCCGCGATATAACTGGAATACTGTTAAAAGCGACGTCAAACCCAACTCACTCACTTGCTTTTATGCAGTATTTGTCATCAGGTTGGGAATGGGGCATCTATAACGTGTGTCGGTCTGTGATTTGCAGACTTTTGAACAGGTTTCTGCATTCGCAAAACACAAAGTCTCGGATCGATTAATCAGAAGCCGGCCAATAAAATCGCTGTTCACTTTCGTCAGGCCAACCTAGTTCATGAAATGGGGTTGCATGAAGATAATCTGCATACTCGGCGACCACGTGTTGAACCACCGTTAAATCGACACTTTTTAGCCAGACTCCAATGGCGTTTACAGCGTAGAAACTGGTGGAATCGCCTATGGCCGCGTGTAATATTTTCAGATTCCAAATTTCAGTCCAGGTTCGCTCTAGAGTTTCTGGATACTCACGGATGTGTTTGGATGCGTCCAAACAAACGTCTTTCGAACGTCAACATTACATATTTTGAACGTGTTACTTTTACTGCAAATACACATATTGTCCATGGAAGGGTAACTTGACAGAACTACCGAGACAAAATACTGGCGGCAATAGATGTGCAGTCTGCGCACAATGCTGGTCTACCTTTTGTCTTTTAAGAGGATGACGTTCGTGCCTAGCCTTGCTCCAAGGCTGTACTGAAAGATAAGTCCATGGATGTGTAGTAATTATATCCTCCTACCAGGTAAGTCTAGATATGTGGACAGTAAGGACTCCAGTCTCTTGTAGGGACAACTGGTTCTTATTAATACTATTTACATGATCTATAAATTATTATTTAAACTTATAATTATTGGCTTAGAGTCTTGTGCAAGTCTAGCTCGTGCCCACCATGCCCGTATCACCACTCACTACCCCCAGCAGCAAAACATCCCATGAATGTTCACCAGCCGCGAGTTCTGACCTTTCGCCATAGTTCACGTTTCGGAATTGGGATACTAGGACATGCATCAACCATGTCAGCGAGTCTGACCACCCGATCACGTTAATCGCCTCGTACGACATGCATTTTTATGGCAAGCATGGGTTGCCGAAAACCTATTCGACCCCGGATCTTAACGGGTCCGATTTGTATGGGGCGGCACAACACATGGTATAGAGATGAGCTGACTTTAGACGATTTTAGACCGCATTGCATTGTTAGTTCACACAAACACAATCAATGAAATCAAGTAAATCACGACTATATGATGAACAGGATCAATAATATTGACAGAAATAATTATCCACAGAGATTAGTCTACTTTCCTTGAAAGTATCAAAATCAGGAGAGATACCCTACATACCACATGAGGCTAACTATAGGATGTGTTTTGTTGTTAAGTTTTACAGATTTTCATTTCGTTCAAAGGATGTTGGTCGTCAACACTTATCTTTGTTCTAAAATTTTGTATTAACATTAATATTCCATCTCCCAATGTAAGAGTATATATCATGGGAATGTGTTTATGAATCACTATCAAATATTGTCACCCGTCACAAACACATGCGAAGGCAAGCCAATCATTCACTTAAATCACGAGAACATGTGGTACAAGTCAAAATAGACAATTGCATCGGACATCATCGTCTACCATAAAACCTTAAATGTTGTAACCTTGATCAAATACCTTCTCAGCAAGAGTCGTATGACGCTCTTTGAAATCTTCAAAGAAAGAGCATGCTCGATTGTACAAAAAAGTCATTAAAAACTGTGAAAAATTAACAGCAAAGACAGCTGGAGTATTGCTCACATAAAGGGAACGTACACAATTGAAAAGTTGAAGTCATCCCTCTTGGCAAACATTCTTGTTGAGAGTGTTTCACAGATGTAAATATAAAACAGATGGTTTGGTCTCCTTTATTTCTTGTCCAAGTGAGTAAATCAGTGAAGGGAATTGGCTATTTATTTTATGTTTATTGAACGATATCAAGTCATCGATATACTGAAAGTTAAGTTGAACTTCTTGGCCAAATCAAAAACATGATACGCCAATCTCACCTGCCTGCTGTTCAAGGTCACTGGATGCTGGGTCTCAAATGACAAATCACATTTGAGGACACGACCTACATAACGGTGGACAACTGGACAATATGTTTCACTGACCAGTCGACCTGATAAGCCTTGGGGTATCACGTGAGGATCGTGACAAAACAAATGCTTCAAATGAGTCATCCACCTTCAATGTTGAATGCTGTGCTTGTTTCAATTGTATCCGTCATACGTGTGTGTTACAGGTTTCATGCACATTCAACATGGCGATCCACATTCCCGGGCTGATTGCTATCATTGTCTTCTACCTTCTCATTCTGGGTGTGGGTTTGTGGGCAGCCCGCAAGACTGGCCTGAAGAAGGGTCAGTCCAACTCTGAAGAGGTCATGCTGGCCGGGAGGGACATCGGGCTACTTGTTGGCAGCTTCACCATCACAGGTCAGTGACAGCTTAAGGACGGATCATACAAACTGTTGGGACAAGGGCGCCCTCCAAGCCCTAGTAACTGCACCATCAGAATCTACTATTCTGGAAAATAATTAATAACTGTTATGGGTAGCATATGTTCAAAAGAAATTCAGACTTGGTGATGGGGAGGATTTTGTCTTCCATCACAGACACATAATGTCGGAATGTGTGTTGACACAAATGCTGGTGAACTGCCTTATGTATGGAATACTGTCAGGGACATTCTCGCGATCTCGACCTAAACGAGCTAAATATGCCAAAAACACTAGAATGCGAGAACGCGGGATGTTAGCCAAATCTCGCGTTCTCGCGATCTCGCATTCTGGTGTTTTTGGCATATTTAGCTCGTTTCCCAAGGTCGAGATCGCGAGAATGCGAGATCGCGAGAATGTCCCTAACAGTATTCCATACTTATGTCATTATTCTCTTTGTACATATGTGATCATTGACCAGTGTGGTGTCTCTGTGTCTATTACGTATTTTGCTATGTGAGTGACGTTTGTGATGCTTGTCATGTATGTGTTGTCTGTGTCTTACCAATAACCTTTATGTTCATGACAAGGAATATCATTAGGGAAAACAACTTCTCAGGGTTACTTCTTGCCCTTTCTTCAGGTGAATGATTGTGTGTGTGTGTGAGTTGGGTTTAACGCCGCTTTTAACATTATTCCAGTTATATCACGGCGTGTCAGCTTAATGTGGGTGGAAAGCCCGAAGTGATGCAGGTCTCAGACGTTTACCACTTCGGTGAAACCCACGAGCACGGGTATGGTGCTGACAAACCTAGAAACATGGTGAATGATTGGATGGGAGAACATGACACACATATGTATATAGACACAAATGACGCCAATTGTTTGATAGGCATTACTTAGAAGTTGACGGATGACAAGATGTCTACCTTGACAAATGAAGCCAGTGTTTGATACAAATTATCATATTTAGAAATCTGTTGTGACATGACTGTCGTCATACAATTAAGACGGTATTGATGGATATGACCATTAACGTCTTTGAGAGGCATTTAGAAGTTGGAGTACTGAGTAAGGATAAGATGGATGAACAACTTCTTTACAATTAGGAGCGACGTTTCGGTGTCGGTACTTACACCGTTATCAGGCAAGTGACGTGACCTTTTTTATTGAAGAATACATGGAGGGTACAAGGTAATGTGATTATACAAGATTTTATATGTTTGTGTTGTTCGTGATGTATATCATATCTGCATTGCAATCAATCTGGCTCCAGCTACTTGGGTCGGGGGAGGATTCATCAACGGCTCCTCGGAGATCATCGTCCTGAGCGGCCTCGTGTGGTGCCAGGCACCGATGGGGTATGGGCTCTCCCTGGTATTTGGTAAGTCTGGTCATGCATCTATACAGATATCAAAATCCACGTACTTGTGCATGTCCGTTGATGTTAATATGAGACTGCAAAGCAAAGAAATATATCATTTTGAAAAAAAGAATAAAATTATTCTAATTTCATGGATTCAAACTAAGGGGGCTCTATTGGCTGTCTAGAGTTCCACCCCGTCGCTATGTTAGGATCCGATCGTGGTGGGTTCTACTGATTTGACATCATAATGATCCTTTGTTTGTCAGCTTCATATCCATATTCATGGCTTTCTTCAAAGTGGTACATATTAACGATCTTCGCCCACATTAAGCTAGCTGACTCACCGTGAAATATGCGAAATGCTGTTGAACACACTCACGCACTTGTTTATCTGACAGGAGGGATTTTCTTTGCCGACAAAATGAGACGAAGCAGGTACAACACCATGTTGGATCCCTTCAACCGGAAGTACGGCGACTTGATGGGGGCGCTGTTGTACATTCCCGCCTTGTTGGGAGAGATGTTCTGGTCAGCTGCTATATTGTCTGCCTTAGGTTCGTAACATGACGTACTTTAGCATCGATCAACTCCAACTAAATAATATTCGCTATCTTACCAAATGAGACGGACTCCGTGATAGTGGTAGAGCGTCTGCCGCAAGATTGGAAGGTCGGGGGTTCGATCTGCGGCATGGTATCATTCGCCCGGACAAATACAAGCAGCCATACGCACGCAAGTCGCTTTAAAAGTGCAATAATCTTGAACGCGGCGTTCAACCCCATTTCAACTCACCTCTTACCAAGTGAATTCCGAATTTTTCCTGTTCATTGCTTAAGCTTTTGATAATCTTTACTTCCACGTTATCCGGACAATGACACGACACTGATAAACATATGTTACATCCAATATTCCTATGGACACGACTTTTTTTTATATTGCTGGAATATTGGCAAGTATAGATTACTGCAGTATCCGAAAATGAAGAGAGTCTCTGTGCCCCTTTGTATTATATTTTTATTAAGATAATTTCACAACTGGTTTTTTTCCGTAAGATATGGTCATTTCAGAGCCTAGATGTGAGTCTGGTAGTTACCGTCCACCGCGCCTTGGAAACAAATACAATACAATCTCAGTCAGCATATATTTGTATTCGTGTCACTTAAGAATGTCCTTTCTAGCCGATGCGACCTTGCCTTTTAAGGGGCAACACTTGCCGTTATCCTTGACATTGACACGACCATCTCCATCATCATCTCGGCTGGCATATCCCTGATGTACACGCTGGTCGGGGGACTGTATTCCGTGGCTTACACCGATGTAGTTCAACTCATCTGCATTTTTGTGGGGCTTGTAAGTAAAAGAAGTAAAATGCGATGCAATTGTGCGAAATGACAGTACACCGATTTTCACAAGCGGCCATTCTGAGCATATTCGGAATGAAAGATTAGAAAAACATATTACAGTCATAATATTTCCTTATCATGAAAATGACAGAAAATATATTCTCTAGCTGATACATGGAATGAACGCTTAAGATTGTAATTTGGTGAGGCACATGTCGAATATATTCACATTTACCAAGACGTTGATACGTTTATTATAATAAGTGGATACGCAATTAACTACAGTAAAGTACGTTTGTAACGAACACGCTTATAACGAACTGACGGATATAACGAACTGATTATTTTGTCCCGACTATTTGCTATTGTTATACTGTATATATGCTTATAACGAACTACGGTCATAACAAACTAAAGTTAGTGGTCCCTTTGAGTTCGTTATAACCGTAGTTTACTGTATTACGATAAACTAGCCTGGAGGTTGATAGCAGCTTATTAACAAGCCTTATCTAAACCATCTATGATTTTAAGATTGACATTGAATGATAAAGTGGCTATCACCCTTGTTTGTTTCCATAACGTAAATATCCCACATTAGGAATAAAAAGTATGTATTTTGCATTTCACCATAGGCTCACATTCCATATAAACATGTAGATATTTACGATCGTATTACCAGGGGAAGCACACTCGGCAAATAATCTATGTATAATTTGTCTGCTTGTAAATACGTTTGCTTTGTGGTCCAGTGGGTGAGCGTACCCTTTGCTATGACCAACCCGGCTTCAAGGTCCATCATCGTCGACTCCTCGTCGTCTTCATCGTCGTCGTCGTCGTCGTCGTCGTGGATCGGAGAGGTCGCTACGACTGATATAGGGATCTACATGGACACCTTTTTACTGCTCATTTTCGGGGGTATTCCTTGGCAGGTAGGTACGACCACCACCGAACTAACGCTTCTCGTGACATTCCAACAAAGAACATTGCTGTGCTTGTGATAATCTATGTAGAAACATCCAGTGGAGATTCCGGGCTAGGGTTCGAGGGTGAGTGAGTGAGTGAGTATGGTTTTACGCCGTTTTTAGCAATATCCCAGCAATATCACGGCGGGGGACACCAGAAATGGGCTTAACACTTTGTACTCATGTCGGGAATCGAACCCGGGTCTTCGGCGTGACGAGCGAACGCTTTAACCACTAAGCTACCCGACCGGCTAGGGTTGGTCTACAATACGTCATATGTCTGTCGTAAGAAGTGAATGAAAGGATCAGGTTGTGAAGAGCTGTGGCTTGATTTGTTGCGTGTCATTGTACACTGACGGCGTTTAACTATGCTCATATCAGTCACTGGTTCGTCTGGTCCATAATGGGGCGGTAGGTAGCCTAATGGTTAAACCGTTTGCTTTTCACGCCGAAAACCCAGGCTCGGTTCCCAACATGGGTACAATGTGTGAAGCCTTTCGCTGGTGTCCCCGGCCGTGATATTACTTGAATATTACTAAATGCGGCGAACACCAATATTCATCCATTCACTAACTCACATACTCGATCTTATACAGGACGACGTAATGTACCTGCAGCAAAACAAATGAAATAAAATTGGTAAAAACCTTGATTTCCATTGACATCCATTTAACACCATTTCACCTGATTCACCATTCCGATCATACCATTTTATATACTTATTAGACCATTTCTCCAAGTAAATAGTGTGTTTTCACAAATGTTTTGATAAATAGTTCGAGTTTGCACACATGATCCGTGAGATTATATATAAGCTCAGTGGATCTGTTGTACCAGAACATGCGCAACTTCTTTTATACAGCAATGCCGATATTGCAATACCGAAATTTGTTTTGAAGTTGCTCTGTTGTCTTACCGTTTTGCGTAAAACTAAACCCTTTCCAAGTCAAGAAGCATAGGACAAAACGCCGTTCTCATACCTCCATGTCAGAATGATCAGATTAGTCCCAGTGATCTTGAGAAAATACTATGTATCCCACGTTGGGAAATTAATGTCTCAGCGGGACAAAATAAATCCCTTATACCCCGCCACGAACAAGGCAAGCTTCACGCGAATTTCTGAGAGGCAGAATAAATCTCTTATACCCCGCTTCGAAGCAAAACGACGGACGATTTTTCATGGTCAATTGAAGTCAAGTTCACCTCAGCTCAATCGAACAGCTGTTCTCTATTAAATTTGTATTTATTTTAATTCTTTTACAATGTTATATTAAAACAAACCTTTGAGAGATAAGGTTGTGTTCATTTAAAAAAATTACTTCAATATTGTTTTGCGTTTATGGAAGGGTAAACGTAAAAACCTGGATGGGAACTGTGTAACGCAAAGTGTGCGCATAAGTTTTTTTTACATATATAACTCCATACACGCAAAAACATATTTAAGTCAATAATTACAAAATAAACAATTGAACGTTATATTATAATCAAGAAACAGTAGCCCGTTAGTGGGGATGGCCTAGTTTCTTTTTCGGAAAAAGAATAGCTTGGTTAGCCAATCAAATGGCATGGTATTACTTGCAATTTATTTATTGATGTATATGTCTTATATCAGGTATATTTCCAACGTGTGCTGTCCGCGAGAACGGTGAAGGTGGCCCGTATTCTGTCCTTCGTGGGAGGGTTCGGATGCATGTTTATGGCTGTACCAGCAGTGTTGATCGGAGCCATCGCAGCCAACACAGGTAGGTGCAAGAGCAATAAAGTAATATAAAATGTTATATAAAAAATATTCTCAAATTTGGCCGAATGTCAATGAATTTGTTAGATTCCGTGGCCTTATTATTATTTCAAAACGTCAACGCCAGAGAATGACCAGCCTTGAATATTTGCCAATACAAATTCCATAGGGCCTAAGGGGCGGTCGGGTAGCCTCGTGGTTAAGGCGTTCGCTCGTCACGCCGAAGACCCGGGTTCGAATCCCGACATGGGTACAAGGTGTTAAGCCACAGATGTCCGTATCTAAAAACAGACGCCCTCGTGCATATTCATGACCATCTCCACACGCGAGCCCGAAGGGGAGTCCGTATCTAAAAATAGACGCCCTCATGCATATTCATTCGGGCTCGCGTGTGGGAGATGGTCATGAATATGCATGAGGGCGTCTATTTTTAGATACGGACTCCCTTCGGGCTCGCGTGTGAAGATGGTCATGAATATGCACGAGGGCGTCTATTTTTAGATACGGACTCCTGTGGTTAAAAACGGCGTAAAACCATACTCACTCACTCACTCACCATAGGGCCTAAAAGGCAAAGTAGTAATGGAAATTATTATGAATGGATTACTGAACATTAGTGATGACGCAAAGTATTTCCGAAAAGGGTAAACGTGTCCTATTCTACCGGTATCACTCGCCACTTACATTTTTTCATTGTATCTCTATTGCAATTTAATTTTGTTTAGTTTTGGTCAGTTAGTTTCATTCCACTTCGGGAATTATCCCAACACAGGAACCTGTGGAGCGACGGAACGCCTCAACTCAAATCAGAAACAATTAAAATGTATATTCTACCCTGTCATAAAAAATAATCTCGCCTTATCTATTGTTCCTGATGTTATAAATGATTTATTCCGTAAAAAAATATGATCCTTTTTGGATATATTTTCAGACTGGAATCAAACTGCTTATGACAAGCAAATAAATGGTTCCATTCCGTCGGATGAGTTGGGACTAACGCTGCCCCTAGTCCTTCGCTATCTGACACCTGACGCAGTTTCGTTTATTGGCCTGGGTGCTGTCTCCGCCGCCGTCATGTCGTCCACTGACTCTTCCCTCCTCTCCGCCAGCTCCATGTTCGCCAGGAACGTCTTCGGCGTTGTCTACGCCAGATGCACCAAGAAGAAGGTACGGTAATAGGAGATTATTTAGCTCGTGGCCATACACTAAGTCTTAATGTTTAGCCGTTTTATATTTTTTATTACCGAGTGTCCCTAATTAATGACCCTGAGCCTAACCTTTGTATAGTCAGGGTAATCGAAGTAACATGATGCTAAATTATGTTATCATGTCTTGCCATCAGTTCGTACTATATATCATGGTTTCATTTCGACATAACTTGTATAAACTTCGTGAATAATTCAAATCTATCAGTTTAGCTAGATTTAGGTCATATGGTATTTCGATTGTGAGGAGTGAATATTTTTTTACGCCGCTTTCAGCACTATTCCAGCAATATAACGGCGGGGAACACCAGAAATGCGTTTCACACATTGTACACATGCGGGGAACGAACCCGTGGACCATATGTACGCTCATGTCACCACTCTTTTGTGGAACTATTTTATTCCGCGACACAGCTGTTTGTTTTATGGCTGTCAGTGTAAACATGAAGTCACACGCGCCACTGTAATACAACTGTGTATAGATCTACCGCTACCTCCTTCGAGGTAAACAATAGTGATTGATTATCATAATAACTTTCACTTTGTATGAGTTCATTGAGTTCATTTGTATGAGTTCATTGGAGTATGAACCTGCAAGCTGCGACGTTCGTACAGTTTGGCCCTCACTCTATGAACGTTCATACTCCAATGTGTGAAAGTCAATTCTTAATAATTTACATAACGTTTTTTCATCTTTCAGACTTCCGATCGTATGACAATTTGGGTTATGCGATTTACCCAGTTTGCCATGGCATGTTGCGCATGCGCCATGGCAATAAGAGTAAAATCAATCTACTATCTCTTCTACCTGTGTTCAGACCTCGTGTTCGTCATCCTCTTCCCTCAACTAACATGCGCAGTGTACCTTCGCGACACTAACGCATACGGGTCCTTGCTCGGCTTCCTCATTGGTCTGATCTTCCGACTGCTGGGTGGGGAACCGGGGCTTGGCTTGCCACCAACAATTATCTACCCGTGGTACGACGAGGATGCCGGTCAACGCTTTCCCTTTAGAGCTTTGTCCATGCTGATCAGCCTTGTGACAGTAATAGGAGGTTCATACCTGTTCCACGTACTCTTCAAGAATGGTTTTATACCGATTGAATACGACATCTTCAACAGTTTCTCAGACAAGCCGAGGACAATTCTGGCCACTTCTGCGACAACGCCAGTTGAGGTAGCCAAACTGCCATCAGACGTGCCCGCTGGCTACCAACCGTACATCGCCGATGACCTCCATGAGAGAAAGGTCAACTTGAGTAAAAGGGGACACGACAACCCAGTCTTCCAACCAGAGCCGGCCCCATCACACAATCTGGGATATAACGGGGAATTTGAAGCTAAAAGACCCCTGTCGACTGTAACCAGACTGTAGACACTTGTTTGATTGTTCATATAACCACAACTCATCCTGATTGTAATTATCTCAAGTTCTGCATTACGTAAGACAACTATATACGCTTGGGTAGTTATGTCTTTGCAAGACGATACAATCATGTACGTATATTTAACATAGTATTACACTTTATGGTTTTTCAATGTTTATTAGTACACAATGAATGGCACTTTAAGATTCGATGAGCATATCCTACTCACTACGTAGTTAGCAAGACACTATGTCATTCATACACAAATGTTATTACATATGCAACCAACGAGCTACAAGAAATCACGGATGATCTGGCCCGAGTGAATTGATATTAAAAGAGCCGCGTCATGTACAGATAATCCGTTATTTCGAGTTACTTGCGTGTTATTTTATATATTGTCCATAAGGAAGAGAATATATGGATGTCAACTTCTTTATTACGAGGAACACAACGTTTCGGAGTATATGCTTACTCCTTCATCAGGTGAATGCTTACTCTTTCACCTGATGAAGGAGTAAGCACATACTCCGAAACGTTGTGTTCCTCATTATAAAGAAGTTGACATCCATACATTCTCTTCCTTACGGGAATCACCTTTCAAAGACCTTATATTGTCCATAGTTTTGGACCTGAAGTTTGCGAGGGTCGGCGACTGTTGTCAGCCTAGTAACGCTTGGCAACGTTTGTAATTTGTGGTCAAATCCAATTTTCAAGTGTATACTTTCTTTTGCCCGGTATTTGCAAAAAACAAACACATACTGTGGACATAACCTTCTCCTATAACCTTCGATGTCTAGAGTTTAGATTCTACACACTAGACGGATTGTATTAACATGTATTACCTACAAATATTTCAGCTGTATATTGGAAACTTTAAACAGTTAATATATATATCAACGTAATATATCTGATCACACTAACACACCATCATATATGTGTTCTACACAAACACATGATTTCATATTTGTTCATTCAAATTGATATTGAGAGGAATTCACTGCAATAATGATTGCAATACGTACCAATAATGAAGGGAATGGATTGTTTTAACCTTCATCAACTTTGCAACATGTACCCACAACAAACGTTGAATGATATTTGCAATACATTGCATACTACTTTGTGACTTGCAGGGTATCTGTTGTCTATGAATTAAAAAAGTGACATACATGTGGATAACATTTTCCAGGGTACAACATACATCGAGAGGCCAACGATAAATGTTGGTCCACTATTACAATGACATCGTTGCTACAACTATTGTCATCCTAGCATACAAGTAAGCACGGGAATTGCACTCTGCAATCTTTATACTCCAAATACCTATGTGCATCCAAAGGCTGCACTTAGGGTCTTAATAACCGTTTGTGCATCCTTCTCAGCACTCCGATGAGTATTGACCACGAACTAGACTCAAGAACGTTCGTGGCTTGCGGGTCCCCTTTGTTAATCGGTCCCCTGATGTAATAATCAGCGGAGGGGCACGGGTGGCCCAGTCGCCTCAGGCGCTGCGATTCCCTGTGCAGAGTTGCGTCCCTTGGCACGCCAGAAGCCTATGATTGTGGGTTCGAATCCCAGTTCGCCCCGATTATGTTAAAAGGTTTGTCAGTACCATACCCGTGCTCGTGGTATACGTCTGAGACCTGCATCACTTCGTGCTTTCCACACATATTAAGCTGACTCGCCGTGATATTACTGGAATACTGTTAAAAGCGGCGTTAAACCCAACTCACTCACTAATAGTCAGCGCTATGTACGATGAACTGATCAAACCACTGTACATTGTTTAATGGGCCGGTGGCCCCTTTACGGAATAAACTCATTCACTGTAGACTTTAAACACAACTTTGAATTTGTAAAGAGGAAGAAAATGCTTTCTTATGAATGGCTGTCGTGGTGACTAATACACTGTGCTTAACAGTATGTATTGGGTGTTAAAGCTTGTGTTAAAAACTGTATCCAGTATTACCCAAAGTTTTTCCTACATGCACTGCGAGATATACGCCACCATCATCGCCTATCGTTCCAGACGCTGCTGTTTTTAATCTACATCAATTATGTCATTTATTGTCATGGATGTTTGATGAATTATTGCAAAGTAGAAATGATTTTTTTTATCCATGGTGTGTTCAATACATGTGTTCCTGATGTATCTGTAATTCATGTGTCTGTATCTTCATCGATACCACATGCTATTACCGCATAAATATACTCTCGAGCATTTGGGGTATTTTTGCGTTCAATATTTCAGTCAACCTTGTTTTGATTTTTCAATCTTGGCTTGCTTATAAATATTTTGCCCTACATCTGATTCGGGTCCATTGTCAATTTATAACCGCGATGTTTATTTTCGTCAACTGCCACTGTTAGTTTGTTGTTTAACGCCGCACTCAGCAATATTCCAGCTATATGACGGCGGTCTGTAAATAATCGAGTCTGGACCAGACGATCCAGTGAGTGACATCATGAGCATCGATCCACGCAATTGGGATCGATGACATGCATCAACCACGTCAGCGAGCCTGACCACACGACCCCGTTAGTCGCCTTTTACGACAAGCATAGTCGCCTTTTATGGCAAGCATGGGTTGCTGAAGATCTATTCTAACCCGGATCTTCACGGGTCCAACTGCCACTCCCACCATTAATTCATATAATCCTCACTGTATTTATTTATATGTGGCATTAGAGGGATGATTGAGTGTGTGAACAGTATTTTAGTTATATCACGGCGTGTCAGTATTTTTTTAAGAAGGAAAGCTTGAAGTGATGCAGGCCCACGAGCATGGGAATGTTGCAGAAAAACCAAAAGAAACATAATCAGGGCGAATGTTGGATTCGAACCCACGATCTCTAAAATTCGGTGCCTTAAACAAGTGGACCACCCGTGTTCCATCATACAGCAAAATATTCAGAAAAACATCCAACATCGTTATCAAACTAAAACATATGTGTCAATGAAACGTTCGTTAATCTTCTATCTAATATGCAATAATCTAAACAATAGGCCGACTAAATGCAAGATAGAAGTATCTTCAAAAACTGCAAGAGATAAGATGCATTTACTTGCAATCATATTCTTATGCCTGTATCAGGAATTCTAAAATGCTTCGCTAAAAGATCAAAGGCACCAACTGTAGTTTATCCTGACATATAGTCCACTTTTTAAGTTATGTTACATGGACTGGTGTCATGGCGCTGTTCAAACTTCCTCCCCGGTGATATAACGTATTCTTGGGAACATCGTTATTTCATTACTGTCAAGCAAGATGGCACATCAATATCAATTTTCGGTGAAGTAGTTCCTTTAAATTTGTCGAAAAGTTGAATATTATTACGTGGGGAGGAATTACGTCACGATTATGTTAACCATCTCTCGTGCCGCAGGCTTATCTTAAACATAGTCAAACCACTGTGTCCTAGCCACAGCAGTCATAAAATTGTCCGAGGCGGGCGTTTTTGCCTCATGATCACATGTACATAAGTCATGTTGATTAGCGTATGGCATTTAGCAATATACAGCAGCCGAACAAAACGACCGATGTTTTTCTTCCCCTGTGATGTTCGTCCCACGGCGACGCCATATCACGCCCTAGGCCGTCGATTTACGTCGGTTACGGTATCATTTCATGTAGCGCAACCAACTTGGTAAGCACACTGTTTTATGGATTAGAGTTGCTGCAGTCTGTCCACATGGTTAGGTCTACTATCGCCTACAGCGCACATTGCCTACAGTATTATCGAAACAATGTTATGCACCAGTCGCTGTCTCCAATGAGCTCCCATTACTTTCAGTATGAATGGACTCTCCCACTATGACAGACTGAGAGAAAAAACCTTGATAAGAGATAACAATTTTATTTTTACTTTGCTACCACAGCCGGCCCAATCACACAAGCTGGGAAATAACGGGGAATTTGAAGCTAAGAGACCCCTGTCGACTGTGACCAGACTGTAGACACTCGCTTGCAATTGATTGTTCATATAACCACAACACATCCTGATTGTAATTATCTCAAGTTCTGCATTACGTAAAACAACTATATGCGCTTGGGTAGTTATGTCTTTGCTAGGCGATACAATCATGTACGTATATTTAACATACACTTTATGGTTTTTCAATGATTATTAGTACACAATGAATGGCACTTTGAGATTCGGTGAGCATATCCTACTCACTACGTAGTTAGCAAGACACTATGTCATTCATACACGGATGTTATTACATATGCAACCAACGAGCTACAAGAAATCACGGATGATCTGGCCCGAGTGAATTGATATTAAAAGTGCCGCGCCATGTACAGATAATCCGTTATTTCGAGTTACTTGCGTGTTATTTTATATATTGTCCATAAGGAAGAGAATATATGGATGTCAACTTCTTTATTATGAGGAACACAACGTTTCGGAGTATATGTTTACTCCTTCATCACGTGAATGCTTACTCTTTCACCTGATGAAGGAGTAAGCATATACTCCGAAACGTTGTGTTCCTCATTATAAAGAAGTTGACATCCATACATTCTCTTCCTTACGGGAATCACCTTTCAAAGACCTTATATTGTCCATCATTGGACCTGCAGTTTGCGAGGGTCGGCGACTGTTGTCAGCCTAGTAACGCTTGGCAACGTTTGTAATTTGTGGTCAAATCCAATTTTCAAGTGTATACTTTCTTTTGCCCGGTATTTTCAAAAAACAATCACATACTGTGGACATAACCTTCTCCTATAACCTTCGATGTCTAGAGTTTAATGTATAGAGATTATACACACTAGACGGATTGTATTAACATGTATTACCTACAAATATTTCAGCTGTATATTGGAAACTTTAAACAGTTAATATATATATCAACGTAATATATCTGATCACACTAACTCATCATGATATATGTGTTGTACACAAACACATGATTTCATATTTGTTCATTCAAATTGATATTGAGAGGAATTCACTGCAATAATGAATGCAATACGTACCAATAATGAAGGGAATGGATTGTTTTAACCTTCATCAACTTTGCAACATGTACCCACAACAAACGTTGAATGATATTTGCAATACATTGCATATTACTTTGTTACCACCATACCCGTGCTCGTGGGTTTCACCGAAGAGGTAAACGTCTGAGACTTGCATCACTTAGCTGACACGCCGTGATATTACTGGAATACTGTTAAAAGCGGCGTTAAACCCACCTCACTCAGTCACTCATTTTTTACCAATGTACGGCAGCCGAACAAAACGACCGATGTTACTCTTCCCCTGTGATGTTCGTCCCACGACGACGCCATATCGTCGATGACGTCGGTTACGGTATGTCTCATGTAGCAACCAACTCGATAAGCACACTGTTTTATGGATTGCGGTTGCTGCAGTCTGTTCACATTTGTGGCGGACAAAAAGATGCAACAAAGACGTATATACGTCTCTGGTTGCAACTTGTACGACAGAAAACACCTCAACTCACTATAACAAGCGTGACTGCACTTCTGCACAGGTCATGTCAGCTCGGCCCCGCAATGCACCTGTGGATGTTTCGAGTCACATGATTCAATTGAAGCAAGTTAATATAAAAACTTTAGTTTATATCCTACTTAATGCTGCATGGGATTATGAATAACCACACACTGGTCGGTTAACGAAATAGTATCTACTAGTGTTTTTAATAAACAAAAACATTTTTCAGTGGTGTTGTATTACTTGATGTAAATGTCTTTAAAGGTATGGGTGCATGCAATAAGGTAGAAGAGCCCGTCAGATAAACCCAGCACCAATAAAACACAAGGTCAGTCTTAAATTCGGCATCTTAGAAAAGTAATAAAGTTAGCTCTTCTCACATGTGTAGTGTGTCAAAGTATAGTTTTGCCCTGAACTATTAAAACGTCAAAGCACACGGATGCAAGCGTTATCTTGCTTATACTATAATAGTTCAGGGCAAAACATGGAGGGAAGAGCAACCTGTTTCATACGACTGTATGTATATGACTGTATGGTTTCACATGGGTGCATATGCATCTGATTCATTAGAAAAGATAATATCTATGAATACATTTACATGTAAGCATAACCAGGACGTCTATATACTCATATATAAAATACACGATACAGTCCGCAGCTTCA